CTATTGGTGGGGAGCGTCACCTGCTGGAAGCCGGGATAATAGGCTGTCTCTTATACACATCTAGATGTGTATAAGAGACAGCCCTTATACAAGGCCTCTATCCTGGTGATGGCGCAGCTCAAATGAAAAACGAAAAAGACTTTTGCTATTTTATTCAAAAATTAAAAATACATAATAATGAAAGTTCATAGAACAAAAAAATGGTATACTTCTACCACTTGAATCATTACTTTGCAGCTCCAACGACTGAAAAAAGAAAAGAAAAAACTTCAAAAAAGAAAAAAAGATACCTAAATATATTGAATAATTTCAAATTACATTATGATCATCAAAGGTGCTGAATATATGAAGCTATAAACATATTAAAAATAAATAAAAAGATACTGAGCAAGGCACTATACTGCAGTCAGGGTGCTTCTTCCTTCCCTTCTTGAACCCCTCCTCCCTCCATAATGGGGATGAAATAACTTTTTTTTTTTTTTTTAATCAGGTTGGTTTCCGTGAGGTGAAAGACAAAATAAGAAAACGAAAACAGTCATACGCTAGAGGCCTAAAAACAAAAAGAAATAAATATTCTAAGGGAAAAAAAAACCTTTAAAAAGAGAGAAATAACTTCAAATAAGTAGAAAGGCAAAATGGACGAGGAGTATAGGAATTGATTGACAAGAAAAAAAGAAGGAAAAGAACTTTAAAGAAGTTAAAAAAAAAAAAAAAAAATTCTGACTTTTTTTGTTTTCTTTTTCGTGTCTTTTTGCGTCTTTGATTTTTAGTTCTGTAAATACTTGAGGCAAAAATAGAAACAAAAAGAAAAACATCTAGTATCTCAAAATCTTTCATTACGAAATGCTGACACCCTTCGACATTAGACCCCACCTGCCCCCCCCCCCCCCCCCCCAAGTTCCCCCCCGCAGCCAAAATTAGTAGCTCTTTCCGTGCATGTTCATTCCACGTCTTGGTTTCAGTAATTGTCAGATTCGGCTCTTTATAAATTAAAACCTCAATCCCGGTGGTTCTCTTACCACCACCAGGATAGAGGTCTTGCACCAGGGACTTTCAAAAAATATATATATATCGTCACAAATATATATATCGTCACAAACAGAACTGCCCGGTAAACCGTAGGCAGAGAGAGAGAAGAGGACAACAAACGAGGGGCT